AGCAAATAAAAAAAATCGGTTATTTTGCTCCACACTTCACCTACCAGATATATTTCATTCTAAATAGAGGTTGAATTACCTTCTTGGGAATAATTGATAATTCGCCTTTCTTAGTTTTACCCGGTGAACCTTCAATTCCGATGATGTCGCCTCTCTTAATTTTATTAGTGTCCGCAGCGTATTCATCTTCGTTGACATAACCACGAGCGTTGGCCATCACTTGAATTTTGACGCCTTCGCCGCGCAAATCGTAGAAAATCAATTTTGCACCAGAATTTCGAATAGAGTGTATACGACCAGCGACACTCACTGTGACATCCAACGTTACACCATCCGAGATAACATTATTGTATTGTTCAATGAAATTTTCCAACGAAAGAGTAACATTGAATTTATGTGGATAGGGATGTGTGTCGGGATTTTTCTTCAATTCCTCTACGGCAGTTGAACGCAATTTGAAGAATTCATTGGGGGAAATTTCAGCTTCGTTAATGTCACCATTGCCAGCTTTCTTAGCTGATGCAGCTCCATTCTCAACAGCAGTCTTCTCCTTTTCTTTCTCTTTTTCAGCCTTCTCCTTAGTCTTTTGTTCCGCCTTCAAACGGCGTTTCAACTCGCTGCTCGGAAGAAATAGAGTACAGCATTATAACTATATAATATGCATTCAAATGTTAGAAAAGATTCCGCAACAATGTATCATTTGTTGAAATTCCCAAGGAAAAAAACATAACCTAAATTTTAATGATCTTTGAATGATATAATTTCGATTGAAATTTGGATTTAGATAACAAGTTGTTTCGCTTGCTGTTGATTGCAAAGCAATGTCTTCACGCAAGTAAACAAACTAGACGCTCTTGAACATTTTATAAAAAAAATCACAAACGACTATTCACACGTGCATCGCGTCTACAAAAGCACTGTCTATTTTGGTTATTGGCTCCAAAAACAATAAAAAAAAAATTCTGGGGGAATTTCAACCGATTTCACAATCATTAACTGCGCACAACTTTCGCACAATTTGGAATATAAACAGAATGAAAACTTTTGGTCATACTTTTTGGATAATTTTTCACCGGTCGCATCAGCCATGCTGGCAGATATTTTCGAATGTACAATGTAAAAGAATTTCGTGCTAAGAACCTATTTATTACTACGTATGCTTGTTGACAGTTGCACGGTTTCGCAAACTCAACACGGACAATATTTACGATATAAATGTGTAACATAACCTATAATTTTATTTGACATTATTATAAGTTCATTCTGTGGTGTTTATGAAGTTGAATGATATTAGTACCGGAAAGATTCAAATTCAGTTAGATAATTGATTTAGTAAAACTTTCATCGGTATTAAAAAAAAATTAATTTGTTTTTCATAGGCTAAGGCATGTTTAGAGATTATCCCATTATTTTAATGAACAAAATATTTAGAAAAATAAAAGTGCTGGTTTTCAACTGAAGCGTTTGAACATTTCATTTTTTTTGACGATATTTAGATGCATTGATTCTATATTTTAATTCAATGTGTCCTAGAAAGGGGCGCGTATTTAATGCATTTATTTATTTATTCAAAAGTCGAATTTGTACACAGTCTGACCATTCAAAACAGAGAATTTTCAAATTGTTCATAAAATTTTTTTGATTGCTTACGATAGATGTCAGGCGTTGTCCACACAACAAACATCAATGAGATTTAGAATGAACCGAAGTCACTTGACATTATATAACTCGTCTCTGTACTTTAGCACATATTGCGAGTCATTTTTATTATTCTACAGGCATCTTCCAGTCAAGTTAGGCTGAAGATTCTAACGTAAAAGTTCGGCGAATGCACCGGCGTTGAGAGATAACTAAATTATCAGCAAATTGGCACTTTTTGTGTTGTTTTCGTTTTAAAAATAAATCTGAAATACGAATAAATATTTTTTTGCTGTGAAATCGTAGGTCCGTAAAATGCTTTTCAAAGTGCATCAGGTAAGTGGAAATGGGCAGATTTTTTTTTTCAAAAGAAAAAAATAAGGTCAAATCCGTGAATTATGTGATATTTTGGTGGGAATATAATATTTATGCGCATAAAGTCTTCGAAAGAAGAGATAATATTTGTGGAATTCGCTTGATAAATGATATTTTCGGAATTAGTCTATTTTTGCAAATCACCTTTCAATGATAGACGATGATATAACAAAGTCCCCTAACCCAATTTACACAATATTTAATTGGAGTAAATTGCGCTTTAAATTTGATCGGTTTTAATATTGAGAATCTCCAGTATTTGGACAAATTTTGCTTAAAATGAAGATATATTGTCAGCCTAAAGTATTTTGAAGGACTCCCTTTATCGCCGAGGTTAATATTTGAACTAATTTTGCTCTTGAATATTTTCATCAATCAAAACAGTAGTCTATCTCATTTATGCACATTATAAAATACTACAATCATTCAGTGTGTCATAGCCTATAGGTATGCTCTCGTAGTAGAGAGAGAGGCACTTGTGAACTTGACGAAAGTGAGATAATTATGTCATGTGCCTTATACGCAAACTGCGATTAATTTTTTTTATTACTTCTATGGCTGCAATCGTACTTTGATTGTGTCGTATGCCATTTTTTATTGCTTTTTTTTCTGAATGAAATATCTCCCCGAACTCATTCGTTATCATTTTCTTTGAACTTTATTGTGCACATTATCTCTAACAGACGGGAACCGTGGGTCAATCAAATTAATACAAAAGAATTTTGATTAGAAAGGTTTTCTATTTCTGTTTTGTTTAAGGTTAAAAAGGCGTGCTTAGTCGCCACTCAACGTGCTTATCGCACATCAAGTGTGTTACACTCAAAAATTCCATTATCGAAATTCGACAACGATGTTTACTTACCATATGAAAAACTCAACAGCAACTTGGAAGTGGTCAAGAAGCGCTTGAATCGTCCATTGACCTTGTCAGAGAAAGTTTTGTACTCTCATTTGGATGATCCACAAAGCCAAGACGTCGTTCGTGGTACATCGTACTTGCGTTTGCGTCCCGATCGTGTAGCTATGCAAGATGCCACCGCACAAATGGCTATGCTTCAGTTCATTTCATCGGGATTGCCACGTGTTGCTGTCCCATCCACTATTCATTGCGATCACTTGATTGAGGCACAAATTGGTGGCGAACAAGATTTGGCCCGTGCCAAGACTATCAACGAGGAAGTTTACCGTTTCTTGGCGACAGCTGGTCAAAAGTATGGCGTCGGTAAGTAAACCGTCTATCTAAATGACTATATTTGTTTTTATTTAAGAGAATGATTTCGATTGTAACAACTTTTTTAGGTTTCTGGAAGCCCGGATCTGGTATCATCCATCAGATCATTTTGGAGAATTACGCCTTCCCGGGATTGTTGATGATTGGTACAGACTCGCACACACCAAACGGTGGAGGATTGGGTGGCTTGTGCATTGGTGTTGGTGGTGCTGATGCTGTTGATGTTATGGCCAATATTCCATGGGAACTTAAATGCCCAAAAGTGATCGGTGTACATTTGAGTGGAAAGATTAGCGGATGGACATCACCAAAAGATGTTATCCTTAAGGTGGCCGATATTTTGACTGTAAAAGGTGGTACGGGTGCTATTGTAGAATACTATGGAAAGGGTGTTGACTCAATTTCATGTACCGGTATGGCAACAATCTGTAACATGGGTGCTGAGATCGGTGCTACCACATCAACCTTCCCATTCAACGGCCGTATGTCTGACTATTTGAAATCAACTGGTAGAGGTGATATTGCCGCTGAAGCTGCAAAATACCAAGCAAAACTTTTATCAGCTGATAGCGGTGCTGAATACGATCAAGTCATCGATATTGATTTGGATAAACTCGAACCACATGTTAACGGTCCATTCACTCCAGATCTTGCTCATCCAATCACAAAACTCGGCGAAAATTCAAAGAAAAACGGATATCCATTAGACATTCGTGTTGGTTTGATTGGTTCATGCACAAACTCATCTTACGAAGACATGGGTAGATGTGCTTCAATTGCAAAGAATGCTATGAACCACGGAGTTAAATCAAAGATTCCGTTCAACGTCACACCAGGATCTGAGCAAATTCGTGCTACAATCGAACGAGATGGAATTGCTGAAACATTCAGAGAATTTGGAGCTACTGTAAGTATTAGAAATTCATTTCAAGATATTTTTAGTCAACGAATAAGAATTTACTTTCGATTTTTCATAGGTATTGGCTAATGCTTGCGGTCCATGCATTGGACAGTGGGATCGTAAAGATGTGAAAAAGGGTGAGAAGAACACAATCGTTACATCATACAATCGAAACTTTACCGGACGTAATGACGCAAATCCAGCCACACATTGTTTCGTCACAAGGTTTGAGAAGAATTAATTCAATTTGAAAAAAAAATGTCTACAAAATCAAAAAATTGATTATTTAAATAAAATGGTGACAGCCCCGAAATGGTGACAGCATTGTCGATCGCCGGTCGTCTCGATTTCAACCCTTTGACTGACTCCCTCAAGGGTGCAGATGGCAAAGAATTCAAACTTGAACCACCATTCGCTGATGAATTGCCAAGCAAAGGCTTTGACCCAGGCAGTGACACATATGCCGCACCACGTGAGGTAATTTTCATCAGCAATACAACATATATTTGATTAAAAACTCCATGTAAATTGTAATAAGGAAATCATGACCTATAAAATATATTGATTCAATTCTATACGTTTACAGGACGGCTCTTCCGTTAAAGTAGATGTTGATCCAAAGAGCCAACGTTTGCAATTGTTGGAACCATTCGACGTTTGGAATGGCAAGGACTTGACCGACTTAACCGTTTTGATCAAAGTCAAGGGAAAATGTACAACTGATCACATCTCAGCTGCTGGCCCATGGCTAAAATATCGTGGTCACTTGGACAACATTTCAAATAACATGTTCATTGGGTAAATATTCATCTTGATTCACATGCTAGCGTTAAATTTATATATGACTGAATTTGAATTTCTTTTTTTGTGACAGTGCTGTTAACTCAGAGAATGGCGAAGTGAACAAAATTAAGAATCAATTGACCGGCGATTGGGCTGGTGTTCCAGATGTTGCCCGTCATTATAAAGCCAACGGTGTCCAATGGGTTGCTGTTGGTGACGAAAACTACGGAGAAGGTTCATCTCGCGAGCACGCTGCTCTTGAGCCACGTCATCTCGGTGGTCGTGCTATCATTGTCAAATCGTTTGCCCGTATCCACGAAACTAACTTGAAGAAACAAGGTCTTTTGCCACTTACATTCGCCAATCCATCAGACTATGATAAGGTGAGATTTGATTTAAATTACGCTTCGAACGGCTTTTAACTTTATTTCGATTTTGTAATTTTAGATTCAACCAACCGACAAAATTTCGCTTCTTGGATTGTCTAACTTGGCTCCAGGTAAATCAGTCGACTGTGAAATCAAACACGCCGATGGATCCGTAGACAAAATCAAATTGAACCACACACTCAATGACCAACAAATCACATGGTTCAAAGCTGGAAGTGCTCTCAACCGTATGAAACAAATCGCAGCCGGCAAATAAGTCATCCAAATCCATTAATCATATTGAAAGCTATTGTTGATTCGAAATATAAGAGCGAAACCGATTTCAAGAATAATATTGGCGATCAAAATTATCAATTAAAGCGAAATAAAAAGTAATGTAACTGATTTTGTATAGAAATTGCATGAATAATAAATCAAATTTCATTTAATAAAAAAGATTATTGAATATAATTTAAGAAGGCAAACTCCCACTCAAGTAAAAATTCACACTAATAAAATCGCTATGCTGTAGTTATGCTCACACTGATTGTCGTTCAGAAATGAGTGTGACCCATACATTTGTGAGCGACAATGAGTGTGGCATATATTTAGAGTGTGTAGTGTAGTGTATGTATGTAACACTCGTTGACGCTCACAAATGTATGGGCCACGCTGAATTTTGGACGACAATCAGTGTGTGCATTGTGTACACACTCCAATTCGATTTCCTGGCACGTTAGAGCAAACGAGTGTACAATATTGTTTGAAAGAGAGCGAGCGATAGACACACAAATTGACACCGAAATTGCTTTGCACTCGACACCGAGATCTCAGTGTCTAGTGTCCACTCTCTGTATGGTAACCGAGCGTGAATTTTGCTACTGAATTGCCACCAGAAACCATTAATGAATCTGAAAATCTTCTGAATCTGTCGGAGCACTTCTGAATGCTTTTGAATAGCTTCCAAAATGTACGAATCTACTGAAAATGAGTAATGGTCCGCGGTCAGTTGCGATTTTTGCGAAGCAGATAAAAGATAGAGGTTTGCTGTCTCCGGCAAAGTTGTAGTATTCGAAGTCTCCTATAATTTTGTTCAAGACTATCATGTCTTATCTCTTATCAGTTAGGCGCAAATCAAAAACACGCGCATATAGCAAGGTTTTTTGCTTATCATTTTTCACGTTTTCCACGAAACTGATAAGAGATAACTGATAACTGTTTAGAGCGAAGTTGTGAAGGACCTCATGCACTATAAATTTTCTCAAGACGGTAGGTCGTTATCTCTTAGCAGTTCTGCGAAAAACAAGGTAAACCACGACTGTACACCAAATTTCGCGGTTTTTCGTGTTATTCGCGAAACTGATAAGAGATAACTGGAAACTGTCTGGAGCAAAGTTGTTGGAAATTTTAAGCTCTATAAAAACTGTGAAGACGTCAATTCTTTATCTTTTATCACTGATAATCACAAGAAATTGTTGCAGTCAAATGATTTGTTTCGCATAACGGTTCACTACAATTAATTTTCGACCACTACAATAACTGTAGGTGCTTCTACAATTATTTTCGAGCCACTACAATTAATTTTCGACCACTACAATAACTGTAGGTGCTTCTACAATTATTTTCGAGCCACTACAGTCGACAACAATTGATTTCCGATCACTACAATAACTATAGATGCTTCTACAATTATTTTCCGGCCACTACAATAACTGTAGGTGCTTCCACAATTATTTTCGAGCCACTACAGTCGACAACAATTGATTTCCGATCACTACAATAACTGTAGGTGCTTCTACAATTATTTTCGAGCCACTACAATTAATTTTTGACCACTACAACAACTGTAGGTGCTTCTACAATTATTTCCGAGCCACTTCAATTAATTTTCGACCACTACAATAACTGTAGGTGCTCCTACAATTATTTCCGAGCCACTACAATTAATTTTCGACCACTACAATAACTGTAGGTGCTCCTACAATTATTTCCGAGCCACTACAATTAATTTTCGACCACTACAATAACTGTAGGTGTTTCTACAATTATTTTCCGACCACTACAATAACTGTAGGTGCTCCTACAATTATTTTTGAGCCACTACAGTCGACTACAATTGATTTCCGACCACTACAATAACTGTAGGTGCTTCTACAATTATTTTCGGGCCACTACAATTAATTCTTGGTTACTTCAATTATTAAAACACGTTTTATAACAGTTTATAGCAGTTTTATTCCCATATTAAATATCAAACTCCCCTGTAGCCAAATAAGTTGTTGAAAACATCAAGGATCGGATGACTGATTTGAATTCTAAATTTTTTCTACAATTTTATGGAACCTAGCATCAAGAGAGGAAGATTCAGTTTGTGGAAATTTCAATTTGTGGCCAAGATTTGAGTATTCGTCCCGATATCGAACGAACGGGCAGACATATTTGAAAACAGACAATTGATTTGAATTCTACAATTTATCTACAATTTTTTGGAACCATTTTTCATTCGAAAAAAAATTCGATTTGTGGAAAATACGTTTTTTGACCAAGATTTGAGTTGTTCCATTTTATAGCAGTTTTTCGATAGCCGATTACTCAAAAAAATTGTTCCTACATAAAAAAAGTAAAAACACTACATTAAAGTACATAAAATCTACAATTCGCCCTACCTGAAGTCATTTCGGCAAATTTGCCAAGATTTGAATATTCATCTAACTTTCATATTTGAATTTAAAAACATATTCAAAGATTTTTGTACGAATAATTCGAAGATGCGACCTACAATCCAAAAAAAAAAACAATTTTCCACATTTCATTTGATAGAATGTGGCAGTTTTCCTCAAGCTGGCGCCACTAGTACGATGCGATCCGTATTTTGAATTGCTGTCACTTTGCAAAAAGTCGCCGATATTGCGAACAAAAGAGTTGTTTGTGTGTTTTCAGAGATGTGAGACGATTTTAATCAAAACGCAACCGCATTCAAATTGAAACAAGGGCTGAAAAGGTCGACTGGATTTTTTTTTCGTTTAAATTAAAATTCATCATAATTTTGTGGAGATGCTTGTGATTTAACGTGTTATTTTCCGGATCGAACCATTAATTCGCATAGCGGTATGATTCATGGCATTAAAAAATCAAACGAATTGCCCAAATTAACCGAAAGTTTCCTATGTGATGTGATACACGATAATTTACGCACACTCGCCCTAATGCATCCGTTCAGCGATGAGTTTAAAGACGTTTTCGAAAAGGTAAATGTCCCTTACTATCATAATAACACATGAATGTGATAATGCAATATATGGACACAAATTATTATTCTTTTTCGTCATTTTAAAAGGGAATGTTCATCAAACCCAATGCAAAGGCATTTCCCCATGTCATGAAATATCTATTCATGATCTGTGATCCAACTGATTTTAGGAAGAAATTTTGCTGGCCAATCTATAATAAAGCAGCAGAGGCAACATTTCGGTTAGTAAACTTTTTGGTTTCATCTGGTACATTCATTCATTGTTTTTATTCAGTACTAGCTTCCTCGCCTCGCTTCGCTCGGCTTGGGCGCTAGTTCGGTTTCTCTTCCGTTCAGTTAGTTTTTTTTCAATCAAGAAAGATGAATAAGCATTTCAGTGAGATGACGATATAATTTGACGTAAAAAGCAAAATTCAGTTATGAATGTTAGTCTGTCATTTCGTATGTTCCATACTTGTTTTTTCAAAGCAAAGACGATTTTCTGGGAAAGTTGCTCTTTTTTCTGGAGTTGATTTTACACGCATTTTTTTCATATGTGAATTGGTGTTAAGTCGTGTAAAGATGACCATGATGGACCGAGATGGTGTCCATGTTCATCTCTGTTCCAA